CCCGATCCTTTCCTGTTCCTGACCGGTATAGAACTCAGGGGGGTAACATTCGGGTGGGAAAGAGTATTTTTCCGTTAGCTCTAATAGTAAGCTCCGTAGTATTAACCTCGTATTGTTTCTTCCCTTGCAGAATAAAGGGGTCCGTGCAGTCATCCTGTCTGACTGCTTCCAGTATTTTCCAGTATAGTTCCGTATCTTCCGTACTCCGATAGCAATCAGTATTATACTCATTGTTTTCCGTGTAATTCCGTATTTTCCGTGCTCCGTCATAAATCCGTATTATACTCCGTATTTTCTGTACTCCGTTGTAGTTCCGTATTTTGTTCATTATACTCATACTCCGAATTGAAACTCTGTATCGTACTTATTATTTCCGTACTCCGTAATTAATCCGTATTAGACTCCGTATTTTCCGTACTCCGTTATAAATCCGTAGTGTACTTATTATATTCCGGATCGATTCCGTACCTTCCGTACCTTGTAGTAAATCCGTGTTGTATTCACTTACTTTCGTACTCCGATCAAGATCCGTATTGTAATTATTATTTCCGTACTCCGATTGATTCCGACTAACCATATCCTGTTTTTCTCTGTATTTAACCACAGGGCGGACTCGCTGTAAATATTAATCCTTTTCCTTTCCTTTATATTTTCACTCTAGGGCGGATCCATTGTAATCACCACGAAATCCTTTGTATTCGTTCCTGAATAAACCTAGTTCACGTTTATTTCACCTTTAAATACCTGTACGACTTATTTTCCGATTCCCCCAAGCGATTGACTCCACTAAGTAACTAAGATCTAGTCCTCCTTTCCTCCCGACGGCCCTGGAGCTGAGCATATTCGGCAAATAGGAGGAACGGAGGATCTCTTTTCCCGTTACACAGCACGTCAAACACCGACCGAACGACACTCGCTCTTCCGACCGATTAAGTAGAACCGCGCGTCTGATAGCTACGCGAAGCACAAGCGGATTTCGGAATCCCGTCCGACAATCCGGAGACCAGAACCGGGAAGAGCGGGGAGACGTATCGTTACAGATGTTTCATGGATATAGAAGAATAAATTCTTGTCAACCACGTGCATCTTGAGGGGGCGTGTTGAGTATACATGGTCCATTATGAAAGTAATGAGCATGATTTTATTGTGACGCGACTATCCATCGCAACGGGGTAAAACCGGTCGGGAAATGTGGTGGGGGGTCTGCCCTTCCAATGCAGCCGGTCGCCAGTTTGCTCCGAGCAGTCTGAGTGGAAAAACGTGCCTCCGCGTGAAGCGTGTTTTTCGACTTTGTAACACGGCGCAATGGAGCGTTCACTTGAACAGCGATACGCCATCAAGTTTTGTGTGCGGCTTGGAAAGAATGCAACCGAAACATTCCAGATGCTTCAAGAGGCTGACATCAAAGACACGGTCAAGTTCCACCATGACAATGCCCCCAGCCACACGGCCTTCATCGTTACCAATTTCCTGACCTGGAGCAACATCCCGCTGGTCCCCCAGCCCCCTTACAGTCCCGACTTGGCTCCGTGCGACTTTTTTTTGTTTCCCCGACTGAAGAGAGCTGAAAGGAAAGCATTGGGAGTCCGTGGAAAACATTCAAAAGCAGGTTACAACGTTCCTAAACAACATTCCCGTCGAGGAATTTCAGGGTGCCTTCCAGGCATGGCAGACACGTCTCCGCAAGTGTATTGATGCTGGGGGAGAGTATTTTGAAGAATTTTAATCATTTGTACCGATAGGATCAATAAATCTATTTTTCCCAGAAAATGCTCATTACTTTTATAATGGACCATGTATGTATTAAATTTTCGCGCTTCAACATGCTCGTGTCGTGTCTTACGATGGCACCACTGTACGAGAGACAATTCTCTTTTCGGAGCAATGTCGTGCTTCCGGCGCTCCCGCTCTTGCGCACTTCCTCGCGGAACGTCTGCCTAGTCGCACGTGCTATTTTTCTTGTATTAGAAATACACATTTGTATTACACTCCAAAAAGGACTTCGAGTTTCATTGAATTGCAATAACCCACTGTGCTCCGCAACACAATGAATATGTCAATTTAAGAATTTATTAGTTTCTAGTAATATCTAGTAGTATATTGCCAAATAAATAAATGAGCTAGATATTAATAAAATGGTAATAGGCCCATATATAAAGAAGAGAATTTACTCATCTGAACAAAATTTTATTTGTTCTGACAA